AAAATACATGCTTTGACAAATAATTTCAGTTCAATACAAAAATCTTAAGGGAAGTAAAATAATTCATAGAACTTTAACAAATTAAAAGATAATAAAGATCTATTTCAAAAACATATATCCTGGATATATAGCCTGAATTCTATTCTATCATCTGATGTATATCATTTTTTTGACTACATGACTTTTAAGTACTGAACAACCAAAGGAATATTAAGATTTTACTAAAACTAAAACTTAGGAGTCCTGAATCTTTAAGAATACATGTAGATCAGACTAATCATTTACTAATTGTCACAAAAAAGACAGATCTGGTTGGGCTTTCCTGTAATCCCAGAACTCTGAGTGGTGATGTATGAGCATCTCAATTCCAGCCTAGCCCCTGCGATTCACAATTTAGTGACTTAGCAAAATCCATCTCAAAAAGAATCAATAGAAAAAAGGCTAAGGATGTAATCCAGTGGAAAGGCTCTGGATTCTATTCCCAGTATGGGACACACATACACACACACACACACACCCCCACCCACCCTGAGCAATGTTTCTAAATCTTCCCAATCTCAGTTTCTTTTATCTGTAAACTGGATAATAACTGTTTTTAATTGGTAAGCTTACTCAAAGAATTAAATGAGATAATACTATAGGAACAGTTAACACAATTCCTGCAAATAATAAGTTCTCAAAATCTTACAGGGCAAAACCTTATCTGGCAATGCTAGAATCAATCCCCGTTAATATCATTTTGGGTACAGAAAGAAATATGTCTTAAAACAATGCAAACTTACAAAACCCAACCGATTAAAATTAATTCCAGATTTATACCAAATCAAAATTACATACAAGATAAATGCCTCACATAACTTTTATTACTTATATAAGCAAAACATTCTGAGCACATAAAATACTTTTTATAATTACAACAATGGCCTTCAAAGAAGAGATGTGGTTTTTAAAAAGTGTTTTTAAATCAACCAGAAATACTAAAATTCACTCTAGTAATTTTTAAACAAAATTTTAAAAATGTAACATTTCAGGAGACATTAATATCATTTACTAACAATATGGTTACTCACACTTCACTTTAGGGTCATATGAAAATAAAGTCATTCAAACACCAAATACATACATATAACAAGGCTACCAGGATTTCTAATACAAAAGTTCTACTTTTTTCACAGGAAAACACAACCAAGAAACAGGTATTCCCCCCTCCCATGAAAAAGAAAAAAAAAAAAGTTAAATAACTTGAACACAGATAATTGAAAAGTCAGAAATGATACCAGTGCCAGCACTGGACAACACTTACCACCTTCAAAAAGCTCAAACATTTCTTAATGCAACATAATCTAATTTAAAAATCTAGTAAGTGTCAGGGAATCCCTTCCTCTTCAACTGATTCACTCCAGAAATCTCCCCAAATGACATGGTCTCTGGGTGTCAAGTTTTTGGTCAAATGCTGGTCATTTCTCTCACAGAAATATGAGACTATTTCTAAATGGACTCAGGTCACCTTGAAGAAGGACCAGTTTAAAGACAACGAAAGATTATTATACATGACAACTGTTGACAACAGGAAAAACTCTGCTTAAAAACTACTCTTTAATGATCTTTGAAGGCTGTAAGGCCATAAATTGCCACCAAAGCCAATTCACTGTGCTTAGCATATTAAAATAAACATCTTCAACTAAATAGTTAATTATCAGGCTTCTACAAAGGTACTTAGCCAGTACTTTTCTATTTATATTATCGCAAATAAATGTGATAGAATTAAAACCATATTTTTCTAAATAGAATTTTATTTACCTCATCTTCCAATCATCTAATATAAAAGTGTAATATTAGTTTAAAATTTTAGAATTGCTCACAAATTATGCTTTTCCTAATAAGCAATAGAAAATTTAAATGAAATTACATAAAATTCAAACTTAGTTTTTATTTACTCTTCTACTATTATGCATCTGATTTTGAGAAAGCAGAAATACCACAAAAGGCTATGTTAAAATCTAATGCAGATGGTTCAGATATTTCTATGACAGATATTCAGATATTTCTATGATGACTGACTGGTACCAAAAAATCAAATATGAAATTAGTTTAGGAAGTCTTAGAAACTACACGTTTTTGTCTGGTACTCCAGCCACCACACCCCCAAGCCCCTTGTTTTCATGTTCCAGTGATTTTGTTTTGGTTATATTTATGACATTTAATAATGATCACTATGCACAGCAAAAATTGTTTACTACTATTGTAAAAAGTTTCACTTTTCATCCCTTAACAGAATCTCAAATAGTCTTTCTTCAAAAAATATTTTCTTCTTAAATGCAGACAGTAGGAGAATCATACCTACCACAGGTTCAAAAATGCAATCAAATAACTTCAGTAAAAAAAATGTTTGAGTGGCTTTGAAAACAAAGCATTCTATATATCCTTTCTAAAACACTGAAGATAATTATTTAATGTTCAACATGAATTTACCAGATTTTCATTATTTACTTTAAAACTGTCTTTAAGTTAAATAATGTAACTAAAGTTATAAGGATACTGGAACACTTAATGTCTGTGTTTTTTCATTTTTTTAAAAAATGGAAATACTGCACAAGGTTAGCCACTGGTGAATGTCTCAATACAGGAGAGGTCCAACAGACCATAAGTGGAACACCAATCATCCTCTTCAATTAAGTTACCAAAAATTTAAAGTTCAAGATTAAGTTTTCAGTTTTCCCTGAAAAGGCCAATTTAAATGGTTTAAGCCAAACGATAAATATTTTCAAATGTACTTAAAGGAAATGTTTATGCCACCTTAATGAAAGCTATCACACAACCTGTATTAGATATGTATAATTATTAGGTATGTAGAATTGGGAAAATAAGAGGAATAATTAACCATAATCTAACTCCAAAGTCTCAAGAAAAAAATATTAAACTGATATTTAACAAACTGAGTCTAGCATCTAAACAGGGCTCCCCTTACAATGCTCTAAAAATAAACCGCTTCTGATGTAAACCTAAACAAGTATTGTTCTTTCTATCATCTTTAGTGGAAATACCTTCATCCCTTGACAAACATCATAGTGTTTTAACGAAATAAAAGTTGTAACGATAACAACAGAAGCACATGAAGTCCTTTTAAACATTTATAATGACGCTCTTACGCCCCCCACCCCAGAAACCCTTAGTTTTCTCTTAAAATGTGAAGAGTTCCTCCTTTAAGCATTCTCTCCCTGGCATGTACCCCCCCACCCCCCGCCCCCAGGCCAGAGGCCCCGTAGCAAACAGTGTCTAACAGGAGCAGGCAGCACAAAGACAGGAATGGGAGATTAGTGGGAGGGAGGGAGGCCGGGACTGGGGCTCAGCAGGAGCTTCAGGCTTTTTAAAATTCAAACTGCTCCCTGACCAATACAAATCACGGACACGCTACTGACTACTACACGGATTTATAGCATTAAAAACATGCCTAGTACGTGACAGCTATATTAACTTCACTTTTTCTAACATCTAACAGTATGTTTATAGGAAATGTGAAACAATTTGTTGTAAGGAGGATGCTTAACTCAAAAATAAGGTTCAGAAAAGTTACTTATTCAACAGTGACAATAATAATTTAACAAGAAACAAAAAATTTCGAACCGATGTAGCAACCATTAATAAAACGAGGAACTTTATTGAGCAGTGTTATTTCATCTTAACCAATGAGGGTTGTCCCTTCACTGAATATGAAACAAAGTATTAAAAGAGTCTAACCAGGTAAATTTACAGTATTTTTCAATGCAACTTGTATGACTGAGGACTTTTAAACTGATGGTTCCCCCTTATATCAACCTACTTTATTAAGGCCTCCATAAACAAGCTCTCAATACTTCTCGTGAACTAGAACTTGTTAAGATAGAACTGGTATTTTTCTCCAGCATTTACAGATACATTTGACCTATTAAAACGACACCTCTCTCATTACACAGTCAAACATCATGGCACAAACAGCCAATGACAATCCTGGGACCTCAAGAAGATCTGCTCTGACAAGAAAGGATGGCACCTTCTTTCTTTTTTAAAGACCTCTCAAATATTGTAGGTATTACTTAATTTCTCCCTTTTTAAAGAAAATTCGTTTTAATCCTTATCTCAGCACAATGCTCAGAACATTTTAAATTCTTTGTATGCTTGTACATGTTTGGGTCAGGAAGTACCTGAGTGCTTTATGCACAGTCGTTTAAAATTGTCCTTACATAACGCATACAGACATAAAGTGGCAGAGTAAACCTGTCAAGTACTTTATACTTGTCTTTGAATTAAAAGTCCATGTGCAACACACACTGTCAAACAACATAAAAGCTCTTCGGGGGGTAAGGGGGTAGTCACTTCTACGTTACGGTTTTCTATTTTAAATATTGATGCGAATGAGTTAATCCTTTTAAAAAGAAAATGACTCTTTATTAACTTTTCAACGTCCAAACAAGTTTTACAAAGATAAAGAAATACCGCTGTTTTTCGCGTCTGAGTATTTACATTTGTCTCACTAACTGAAACTACTTCCTCCCTTCATGGGGTCACAGGGGGAAGAAGGGGGGTTGTTTGTTTCACTGGGACGTTCCCCACTCCCGGACCGGGAAAGTTGTAAATATGGGGACGATCGGAGCACATTTGCTGTTAGTTGTATTGTTTCCGCCTCCTCACTAGCTACGGCTCCTCTCCCGGGCGAGGCCTGTCACCGACCAGCAGCCGCTCCGCTCAGCCCGGCGCTCTCCTAATCCCCGAGCTCAAGTAGATTCCGCTGGCCCGCGGCCTGCACTCTCCGCCGGGCCT